CCCCAGCTACTGGGCCAGTAAGTCATACTCCTAGCCACAAGCTATAGCTGTATACATGCATGTAGCATGTATACATAGATGTAGCTATACATAGGTATGCACAGAGTTTTATATTATAGAGTATATTTTATACTAGTGTATAATTTTTATGCTGTACTAAAACTGAAGTCTGCCAGTGTTTGTAGTTGTGTGTGTGTACATCAAAGCTGCTGGGGTTTCCTGCTGCTGGCTGGTTCCTGACGGCCGAATCGCACACCTGGTTACCTAGATCTAGCACAGGGTGCATAAAGCCGACTCAGAAGAAAACCCAGCGCCCGGAAGCCACGCTGTGACACCTTCACATACAGACACTGAAGTCAGGCCACAAGCCTAGCGAAACATAACCAGAAGCTCTTTGCTCCCCCTCCCAAAATCTCTCTGCCCCTCTGCAGGGAGCCCTGCCAGCCATGCTCCCTCTTGGCTGGGCCGAGGGCTCCTGTCCCCTCACCCCAGCTCTTGGCCCAGGTGCAAAGGCTCCTCCAGCCAGCCCTGCTTCTGCTCTTTCTTGCACGGGAGGGCAGCACCAGGCAGGGCACCTCTGGGCTAGGGCACCTCTGCAGCCCCTCCTGAGCGGGACAGCAGGGCACTGGGCAGCCTTAGCACCCAGAAGGAGCCCCAGGAAGTCCCTGGGGGGTGCCCACCCTGCCCCTCAGTGCTAGCTGCCGTTGTCCCCTGGCACCCTGCAAGCTGCCTTCACCTCCTTCCAGGGACACAGTAGCAGGGTGTTATTAAGTACCGATTTTGCTCCTCTGCCCATCTTCTCCAGCTCCCATTCTCCCCCATGCTCCCAGCCTCTCTGTGCTACCTGCCTCCCTTCCAGGCCAGTGCTCTCACTGCCTCCATCCCTGACACATTTTCCTGCTGCCTTTTGGCTCCGTCCTCACCCCCAGACTAACTCCCTGCTTTGCCACATGCGCCTGTCCTATTTCCAGCTCTCACATAGTGACCGGGGTTTTTTTGGGTACTCTGGCCTCTGCCCCACGAGACGTCCTGGCATGGGGAAGAGAAACCAGATGGCAAAGCAGCCTGCTCTTTTTGCCTTCTTTGTGAAAGCCAAAGGAAAATAGCAGCCATCTAGACATTGCAAGGCCCAGAGACGTACAGGCACCAAACACTTAGAAGGTTCAACTGATAACATTATTGGACACCATTGGCATCAGCATGGGATCTGGCTGCCAAAATACCTCTGGAGCCTAGGCGTCGCGCTCCCTGTACCATGCACGTTACGGCTGATGCTGGGCTTCAGCCTCTGCCGCGTGTCATTCATCTTCGCCGCCCGCCGTGCTTTCAGCACCCTTGAGGCTGCTCGCTCCTGGGGTTTCCCCACGCGGGAGCACATTGCAGTACTCCCAGGAAGGAGCACGTGCAGCTCCAGCAGCCCGAGGGCTCCAGCCCAGCAGTGCCTGCACAGCACCGACGAGGGCACGGCTCGCACCCACTGTGCCACTGCACGGCCCGCACACGCAGCCCGCTGCCTGGCTGAAAGACAGGCTGTGCACGAAAGGTTGGAAGTGCACACGATCCCCCAGAAGCCTCTCCAGCTGGACGAACACAACAGCCGGATGCAACCGCTCCTGCTAGCCACAGACTTGCTCTCCTGCAAGCTCTCACCATCACCACCACGCCACAGGCTGCAGCTTCCCAGGCTCAGCATCCCTGGGGATGCCATCCCAGCCCTGCGTGCTGGCACTGGCATCGCTGAGCAAACAGAGGGCTCAGTCTCGTTCATGGCACATTCCTCACAAGGTGCTGGCTAAACCCAGGCCGCATGGGACCTCTCCCTCAATGCTGCAATTTTAATTGAATCCAGTGTGCTTTTTTTTTTTTCGTCTCTGCCTCCCTCTTGTGTCCCAAGCCCTGAGTTGGGCCTGTCGTACTCCCTTTGGCACTGCCCCTTACCCTAGGAGAAGGTGCAAGACCTTCAAGGACCTGTTTCCAAGGCGCGATGAGCTGAGCAGCTCAGCCCCTAGCACCACAGGCATCCCTGTCCTGCATGCAGCCCAGGCCTCTCTCCAGCCAGCACTCCAGCTTCGCAGCAGCCCGTGCTGGACAAAGACATGGCACAGAAACACCAAGGCTGGATTTTTCAGCCAGCTCAAATTTTGCTTGCTTGCTACAAGCAAAGGGGAGGGTCAGCTGGGTTTCTCTATGCAGCACACCGTCACGCTGAGGCACTCTTGGCAAACAGTGCAGAGGAAAGCAAAAGTGCAGTGAGACTCCTAGAAGAGCCTAGAGGAAACCATGGAGAACAGGCCCATCTGCTGGCTACTAAGGTGTATGATCAGACACAACCACCAAGTCAGAAAGCCACTGAAATACTGAGCCCTGGAAGCTGGGAGGAGCAGAGCTCCCTTGTCCTTTGCCTAAGCGTCTGCTGCAGGCCCAGCTCTGGGCAGGACAGACCTTTTTGTGGCCTAGCAAAGCTGCTCTCCTGCTCACTTTAAAAAACAAAGAGCAGGAAACTGCTCGGTAGCTTACGGAGCTCCCAGCTCCATGATCATCACGCCGGACAGGGTGCTCACACTGCGCCTCTCCCCACCAAGAGAAGAGCAAAGAAACTATCCTTTTCTTTGAAATCTGGTTGCTCTCAGGTGGGGCGATGGTCTCAGCACACGTGCCAGCAAGACACTGACTCAAGAGCATTCAGAAACACCGGTTGCATTTTGCAGAATCACAATATACCGTGTGCGGAGCAGAAACAGTGGGCCAGTGGGGTGAGTGACACCATTTCTTCTCCGCTCATACGACTGGGACCAATAACGATAAAAGGACTGACTCCCATTGCCACTTGTTGGGCCCAGCGTTTACAACACCCCTAGGACAAAAGCCGAACAGGCCAAACCTGTGTGATGCATCAGGCAAGAAAACATGTTCTATTAATAGAAGAGAGTGGGAAGGGGGGAAGATGACATTTTTCTGGCATCCCATTTAATTTATTCCAACTTTATGCAGCTCAGCTTTTCCAAAAGAGACAAGAAAAACACAAAAGAAAACTTCCTGATTCCTAAACCAAACAAAAAGTACAAACTGCAGATGAGAGCCAGCATATGCGAGGTTTACAGGAAAAAAGCAGAACAACCTTGGATGTTAACAGAAAACAGGTAGCATTGTTTTTTACAGTTACTTGGGTTTGCATGCATGTGCATTTTCTTACTCTTTTGTGCTTTCCCTCTCATATACGCGCACGCGCACCCCATACTTCCCTACCCCGGCCCAAAGGAGGTCCCATCCCTTTTTCCTCCACTGCCACTTCCAAATTCCTGCACGGACATAAGAAAAGGCTTCATCTGCAGAGACTGTCTGCAACGTTTGGATCTGAAATGTGGAGCCGAGAAGGGGAATGAAAAAAAAAAACCCCAAAACCCAGCACTCCCCTCCCTGCAAAACCTGTTGGGCTTTTTGTTTTCCCTTGTTCGGATCAAAGGCCCCAAATGAGGTGTAGAGCACAGGGATCCTGGTGTGCCTCTCCTCCCACACGGTCCGCTGTGAATTTCTGTGAGCCTGCAGCTACTGGTGGCTGTTCCCACCACGGCGGGGCTGCCGATTCGGACCTGCGCGGTTCAAGGCTGGCGAGCTCTCCCCCATCACAAGCAGAAGCGCCTGGCGTGCCCATGCCCTGCAAAGCTGCTCAGGCACCAGCACGTCGGGGGCTGCTGCGTTCTCCCCACTCCAACGTTACCGCGGGCGAGCGCTGGCCCACAGATAGCTCTGGGTCTCTGCTCTCTGGGTCCTCCCTGCCGCTTCCCCGGTCCGGCCCTGCTCCAGGTGACCTTGTCGAGCCGAGCAGCGGTTTCCCAAAGTGTCCCCGCCGGCTGTGGGTCACAACCCCGTGCACAGCCCTGCGAGCAGGCGCCGGCGAGCACAGGGCAACGCCACAGGTAGGAGCCTCCCTGCTTCCCCCTGCACCTCCCCGCGTGGGAAATTTGGCCTGAGCCCCTGGAGCAGCCAAGCTCGGAGGCCACGTTCGTTACTCATTTGCCAAAAAGTGGGAGATGCTTTATTGTTGCCCTTGGTTCCATCTAGGGAAAACTCATCCAAGGTGCTTAGTGTAAGAAGGACTTCTGCAATTGTTCTGTAAATGGTATCCATATTAAAAAGAAAAAAAAAGGAAAAAAGGAAGGAAGAAAATAATAAAATCTCCTTGCTTAGGCGACGGGGAAGTTATTTATTCTCAGCGTCTGTGTGTTCTGTACAGAAACAAATCAACAGGTGAAATAACGGCAGAGACACATCCGTCCTTTGGAGCGGCGCGTCCAGTGCAAAACCTCTCGGCGCGCCTGGAACTGCTCGGATTGAACCTATACAAACATGTGTGTGGGT